ATCAATAATGCTAATTATACACACACACACACACACACACACACACACACACACACACACACACAAATGCTTATTTTATGGATACCAAGTGTTTCCTTAGAAAATGTGCTTGACTAGTCTACTGTATATTTCAGTGATGATGACTTGCAAAGGGGGAAAAAAAGGAAGCTATGTATGAATTATTAATATAGGTGTACTCTTAGCAGTGAGCATACACTCAGAAAAAAAAAAGGTACAAAAGCTGTCACTGGGGTGGTACCTTTTCAAAAGGTAAAATTGTATATTTAGGGGTACAACAGTTTGTCACTAGGGCTCTACCCTCAAAGGGACATCTTTGTACCTTATTTGCCCCTAAAATTGATCACCTCAAGGGTACAGATTACTAATCATTAAGGGTACTGTCTCAGTGACAAGCTGTTGTAACCCTAAAGGTACAATTTTTTTGTGACAGTATAAGACACTATAGGTTGTTACCTGTCAAATGAATTCAGTATCAACAAAGGTCATCTTTGTATCATGCATCTGAAATGGCATTTAGTGGTAATGCTATGTATATATATATATATATATATATATAAAATGGCTGAGTTATTCACAAAGATAGACGTTTTATAAACTGAAATTAAAGCACCAGAAACTTTTTATCACAACAAAGAGCAACATTTCAACCAGTAAGGTCTTTCTTTCTTAAACGTTTTTGACCAGTTAGGTCTTCATCTATCTTTATTTTTTCTGTCCTGTATTTACGCCCAATATGGGCCCAGTCTAGCCCAATGGTAAGTCTGGCCGTAGATGTTATGGCAAGTCCTGGGATCATTGGATGTTTAGGAGATTCATTTAGGCTCTTTTGCACTTCATTTAACTTCCACCGTTGAAAAATTAAAATGCTTCTTTCAGTCCCGTTAACATTATAAATTAAATAATTGCACACAAAGCTGTTGATTGTCAGTGTTTTGTAGCAAGAATTCACATATCAAGTGGAAAGTGTCAGAGACGTGCCCAGGTTGGGCTTGGGTGGGAGTGACTGTAAGGATGAATGATAGATACATGAAAGATGATGAGATCAGGGGCTTTGGAGACTGGGAATGGGCTGGGCTGGGTGGAGCTCGGATCAACTGACCAGCTTCATCTATAAAAGCCGCAGTCTCACATCCTGTTGTGACTCAGCTTTGATCAAAACTGCTAGAGACAAAAAGACCAGACGAAGAGGAAGATACACTAGGTAAATCATTAAATAAAAGGTTTAAACAACGATTAGAGGCAAAACCATGAGTCACTCTACATTTCGCACCTCTTATCACCGCACTTTCGGGACGCCTGTCTATAGCCCTGTGTCCAGTCACATAGGGGGCCGCTACATCTCCTCCTCTATTCCCACCCGCTCTGTGGACTTCAGGAGCCGCTCCAGTGCTCCGGCCCCCCGTCTCTCTTATGATAAATTGGACTTCTCACTAGCAGGGGCCATCAACCAGGAGTTCCTTGCCACACGCAGCAATGAGAAAAGAGAACTACAGGAACTCAATGACCGCTTTGCCAGCTTCATAGAGAAGGTCCGGTATTTAGAGCAGCAGAACTCAAAGCTGATTCTGGAGCTGGGTCAGTACAAGGGCCAGCAGCAAGGGCCATCAGGCCGCGTCAATGAGCTGTGCCAGCAGGAGATGAGAGAGATGCGCAGACAGCTGGAACTGATGGGCAAAGATCGAGACCAGATGCAGGTGGAGAGAGATAACCTGGCCGAAGATGTGGCTCTGCTCAAGCAAAGGTGCGTGTGCTGGTGTATGCTTGTATGGGATAGATTACAAATAACAAGTCCTTTAAGAAAATACAGAAAACAGTCGTTAATTTGTCATTTTTATATTACATTGTTCAATTTTATATTATATGCATTGTTTATATTTTTAGAAAATTTCTGACCTTTAAAATGTTTGAAACAGGCCAGTGTATTAGTGGATTGTTCAACCAAAATAACATGTTCATTACATACTTATCTTCATGTCATTGCAAACCTTTGTTCTTTGGAATTATAAAAGAAGATACTATGAAAAATGCATGGACACTAACTTCCATTGCATTGATAAAAACATTTGAAACATTCTTCAAAACATCTTCTTTCGTGTTCGGCTTAGGAAAGACGGTAATACAGGTTTGGAGTAACACAAGGGTGGGTAAATAATGAAAATTTTCATTTTTTGGAAATTTTACTTTATTTACTGTTCACTTTTTTTTACTGTTGAGTGTAAAAATTAAAATGGGTTTTAAGACAAAAGTTAACACTGGTAAGAGTTAAAAGTTAAATGTGCCAAAGTTAGACATTTATAATGTCTGTGGGCTCCAGTTATAATGATGTTATAACAATACCTATTATATTCTGAAAGATTAAGCTTTTGTTTATTTGTCATCATTTTAATAATATTTTTTTTTTTAATTCATTTGTTTACACTGGGATACTGAACTGAAATTTTAAATTTGTTCAGGATGGAATCCTATGTTTATAGAAAATATGTTTATTTTGATACAGAGGACAAAAGAAAAGATTGATTTAGTGGGGAAAATTTGCAGATATCACTTCAGAGGCAATTATGGTTGAATAAATTAAGATTATATCTTTAAAAATAACAGCATGTCTACATGATGTTCATGTTATATGGGCGTGGCAGCTAATTAAAGTAACAGAGACAAAGAAACTGCAGCAGGGACCCTCCCATCATCATCATCATCATCATCATCTCTAATGCGGTTCGACTGTGTCTAATGGATGAGACATTTATACAACTAATGCTCCATATACACACACAGCCTGTATTCAGTTTATATGAGCTAGGACATCATTTCATATGCTACTGTGCGCGTACTTTGAAACTACTCATTACTGCTTAAAACTAATTTAACCTCAACACGCCTAGAACTTTATTAAAATTATGCTTTACGCCCATTTCATACCGTAGGCTACACGAAATCGGTGCATGCGCAAATTTGCAGCCTAATTAGCTCCAGCAGCAGCAGGTCCGCGTTGTGCTGTCGCACTGGCAGGGCTGCGCCTCAGCACTGGTAATAAAAGGATGTCCAAGCAGGGGCGTTTTCTCTGACTAGAAAAGGGAGGAATCCTCAAAAAAATCGAAAGAGAAAGTAAAACAACAAGTACAAATTATGAGATCAAACTGTGTAAAACATTAATTTTTATAGAGTGACGTTGCCTTAAAACACTAATTTATAGATCATGGACATCAATTTAAGTTTAAAATTATAGATAGATCTAATTTATTTTATTTTATTCAACCCAAAAATATTAACCTAATTATAACCTATACATTAGGT